CCTCATTCTTTTCGTAGAAACCAGTTACTGTTTCTTGGACTCTTTTCGAGCCGACTTTTATTCGTCGATCAGGCGGACCCAGGCATCGTAGTCATCATCAAGACAAAAAGGTGATTTGGGAGATTGAGATGGAAAAAATCGGATTGTCAATTTGGCCACGAAGAGTACTGCCGCGATCTTGACAATGTTCGCAAACTTTGCGTTAGAGCTGCTGCTACTAAGAGAATAGAATCTCTTCCCACGTGTCTGATCACGTCTCAGAAGTGTTCGTAATCTCCAAGTGAAACGAGAGTAATCGTGAACCGAATGCTCGCATCAGGATAATGTACGAGTGACATCTCAAGATGTTTAAATGGGGGCGGAGCTAGAATAAGATGGTTTAAAATAACATATTACGTTATAATTTATGTATTATTGCAGCAGCATACATGATAACAATAAAATTAATATATTACCTCAATCATTTCATTCTTTGAAATCGTGTCGGTCGTTTGGGCTATCCGAAAGGACAAAGAATTAATATTCAATGACTTATTGATGGACCGAGTAATTATACATGAAGACGGAACTTGCCAAACTATATTTCAATCACGCCACGGTATTTATAATAACGATGATATCACCCTTACCCGCTTATCAAAATTAAATCGCTAGTGACGTTCAAAGCTTTGGATATTTCCATCCAGTGATTAATAAGCATGTTAAGAATCGGTCTGTAATAATCATACAATATCAGTACACCCGCCACTTGCAATTAACGCATCTTACTGAATTCCTATTTACCTTGCGACCTTGCATTCAGCCCTATGGGCATGCAAGTAAGTCTCTATCTCTCACAAGCACAACCAGGGAAAGTTGACGTGAGCACAAATTCAATGAATCAGTCACATGACTCGACGTCAAAATATGCGACAAAGAATAAAGGTTACGCACACATCCGCGATCAATTACTGTCTGCTACACTTCAATGCATATCTGATAAGAATAAAATAAAATTTATCATGCTCGACGAGGAATCTTGTCATGTTGTTTTCTTGCATAACCCATGATTCTTATTCTATATCACCCAGTGGTCTGCATGAAGACACAAGCATGCAGTGAAAATTTAATTACCGCTTATCCAGGGACTGGCCAACACTCTGAAATAATAAGTTTCGATTAACCCAAAATTTATCCCACTCACAGCATCCACTAGCACTATGCATTATATTAAACGAATCTTATGTGTGTACAAAAATTCAATACATACGATTTCGAATTTACATATAACAATTGGCTGGATTATTCGAAATTGCAAACAGATTTCCCTCAATCGTTAACAACCTAGCTCATGAAATTCATTAATGAATTTTATCCCTCCTTTTTTTCATTTATTCCTGTGAGTATAAACATCAATACAAGTAGACTGTTCCGTGGAACATTAATTTAAAATATGATGCCCGGAAAGTGATCCCACGCGTTATCTTCATTTTTGAAAAACGTAATGTTACGGTAACAATGCGGTTATAGTGCACTACTATTCTGCGGCATGTGAAACGTGTAGTAATATTGCGGCAGATTTGTTAAGAGCTATGTTAATTTCGAATCTTAAAGTTCGATTAAATGCATACTAGGTAACGCTACGCTTTCCGGTCGCGTCAATATGGTGCGTGCTATAGTTAATAATGAGGTAATGTTTAAACATGCGTTGATAAAGTGATAACTTGGAAATTTTACAAGTTTCTGCTAAGTGAATACAGAACTTTTACAGTCGTTTTTTCACAAGTGTTGTCAGATGGTATTATGTGAAACTGATATGATTTTATTACATGTTTCTTGAAGCTTTACTGCGAGCTGATGAGTTAAAATATTGTTCCCATAATAATAATAAATAGCTTGTCCAATAGTATGTGTTAATCTTTGAGCTATTTTGCCAATAGTGTAAAATAGTTTGTCACCGGGTTTCAAATTCAGACTAAACCATGTTATAAAGCTCTACAAGACAAACTTTTAAATTGTTTCCTTATAGCACAGCCAATAATCAAAATTTTTTACAAAAAATTAGTACACGTAGAAAAGCAAATTTGCTGATACAAACATACTCAACAGAACGTTGATAACCATAAATAATTGTTTTATTTTCTAAACAAACGCATTCTTTTTATTTACAACTTACAAAAAATTATTTGCAAACCACAATTTTTTTGAGACACACTATACATCAGCTCTTCTTAATATTACTTTTTGTGCTCCGCTTCCAAGTTGGGAAAATTCGAAAAATAGACTACCCATTAGATTACCAGAATAGGTTACAGACGCCCAATGGTAGTAAGCCAATAATATAAATATGCTCAATATGTAAGCTATTCTCTAAAGCATCAGTAATACTTGTGCTATTTCATTTGAAACCCGCTCGGTGCGTTTTTAACGATGAATAAATACTTTGATAACTGTCCGTCAAAGCCAGCCAGGCCATTTACAATTATCAAGCTGTTATGGGATTGTTAACGGATGTTTCAATTAAATGTTACCAACAACCTGTAAATGTAAATTCGGTCAAAGCGAAAATACCAACAAACGATCAATGAAACAGTTGCTGTTAATACAGACAATACAATACAGGTTTTCTCCCGTCCTCCTGCTGACAACGCCTCTTTTCATCACATGCATTACTAAGCACTTTCTTTCTATACCAAACTCTAAAAAAGGGAAGGCAAATAGAAGAGATGTGCTGCATATTGTCGGAGATGCGGATGATAAACATTGCCACAAGAACCTGTAAACAACACATGAAGTTTATCATCTCTTGTGCAAAATGTGGCACTCCATATAGATACGGGCACCCCAATCAACGACTTTATTCGCGGAATGAATGCAGATATACGTGTATAAACCTGTTTCTGTATCTTCTCACAGATATCAACCTCCAAATTAGCAATATCGCAGTAAGATGGATTCGATCACTGATTGAAATTCTTCAACAGTACAAATGTAAAATCAATATATTATTCATATAGTACACTATGATGTCTGTGGAAAATCGGTCTATATAACTGGATCCTAATAATAACGGGAGGAACGGGAATTGTAATTAGTAATACGATAGATAATATGTTTTAAATGATTTAGTACGCTGTTAAACAAGCTTACGCCACCACATCAATATGGGGTTTTACAAAAGAACGCCTCCCATTCTTTGTTCGAATAAACGTAATGTCTTTGATTAACTATTATTCGGTAATCGGAATAAATAATAATTGAACGGGATAAAAAATCTAGAGTCTGACCATCATTCTCTCGAACAACCCGATAATTGTTTCGTAGGTTTTCTTTCTTCTAACCGAATGCCATCTTGAACTTCATTTTTCTTGATACAAATGTCAAAGATGGTAATGACACAAACAAGTATGCATTAGGTTTGTCAGATGACCGATAACATTTTCCATTTCAATGCTTCATCCTGTTATGATCAGGCAGAGTTCTTAAAAATTTTCGTTATCACATAAATAAAGTTACCTGTTTTATATTCTATTCCCCATAGTAATTGTAAAAACAACCCCATTTGTGATGAATTTGTATTTTCATAAAAATTTAATGTTACTATATGAAAACACGTTTGTAGTACGGCACACATGTTATGGGGTGACATGCAATTAATGTGATATTTGGAAAACAGAATCGTAATACTGTAAGACTTTGTTGATGAAGTGAAAAAAATATTCAATTCGGAGAGAGGTGTAAATAATATGATGCTCGTTTGTTATACTAACAATCCACGTCTTGCTAGAAAACATTCTCGGCACGCTGTTGTAAGAGGGGGGGGTGTGTTAAAAAATGGGGGTATCCCTTAGTTATTTTTACCGAGGGGTGTAAACGAAAACATCCCATCATCAATAAGATTTCATGTAATTATTCAAAAGTTTAAGCTACGTAGATACTGTATAATTAATTGACCGCTTCATATTAAGGACGTATAGCATAAAATATCTAATAGAACGCAAACCTTTTTATCTACTTAATTACGCGCACAGCCGTCTTTTTTTAAAATATGACCATTGTTCTTAAAATTTCCATTCAAACATACTAACCTCCAAATGTTGCCTGATTGAACCTCCTTGATGCTGATAACTACGATATCCTTATTGGATATTTACGTCGAGAAAAGACAATCACAAAAGCTAAATTGATATGTCAGAACGAAACCAAATATTTCGAACACGTCTACTGCGAGACATTTTCCAATCCAATAGACATGATAAATACCAATCTAATCACATTATTATCGTTTTTGGAGTTTACAGTAAGTTATTTATAAAATTTTGTATATTTGATTTGGTCTAGAATTCATTATAAATACACTACTCTGACTCCTTCCACACCCCCAATCCCCCAATCTGCTGTTGTAAAATTACATTACGCAAACAAACGCCATGGACTCGATCAATGAAAATAATAATGTCCCGGCTATTGATAACACGCCTACTGAGGCATCCACCACAACAACTACCGCAACAACTGCACCAACTGCAGCAACTGCACCAACAACAGCGACTGCAACAACAACTGCAGCAACTACACCAACAACAGCAACAACCATAACACCAACAGCAGTAACTGCACCAACAACAGCAACAACAGCAGCGACAACAACAACAACAACAACAACGACGACGACAACGACAACAACAACAACAACAGCAGCAGCAGCAACTACTCCTACTCCTCCTACGCCCATTTATTACCCGCCCACTCCGACTAGTGCAACATCAGCAGCATCATCTACGGATAGTTACTGCGACGAAGACGAAGAATTTTTTTATACATTGTTTAATAATAATCCGGAGGAACACTCTCGTCCCCCTTTGGACGTGCTTGATACACGGAATAAAAAGGTATGAATCCAGACAATGTTATAAATGAAGCATTTGGGTATAGAATATAACGTACGAAGATATTTAAGCAAGGAGACTTGAGAATGAGGCCGACGTATATAGTAATAGATAGCTATTAACGGAATTGTGGTAAAAGTACGGTGTGAATGAATTGAGAGCTGACAATTTCTTTCTATTAATAGAAACAACGGAAAGAATGATCCTTGTTGGATTTTGTTGTTGTTTTTTTGTTTTTTGTTTTTTCCTTTTTTTATAGTCTAGGAAGTTATCATGTTTACGAAATTGTTGTTTTAGTTTTGCGTATATGGTTTAATCTGACACCTGAGACAGCTTGGTGGTGGTAGACGATGTTTTGTTTAATCAGTTATAAACTACAGATGATGTCACCAATCTCCTATAATTTATTAAAAAGAAGAAATATATTACTAAAAACAAAGATTCTCTACTTTGCTATACTAATAAGGAATTAATCATTGACTAAATGTATTTGAGATTGTCGATTTTAATAATCATACTAAATTTAGTTTTTACATCCTCCATTTTATGCCTATGCATCGACTAAAATGTGTTTGAGGGCATGATTAATTTCTTTTTGTCCACACTGTCTTTTTTACGTGTGTGTGCCGCCTCTTCCGTTCGCCTCAACGAAGAGCAAATTTATCAATACTTGCGTATTGCTCCATGACTCCATTATAACAAATCCAGAGAATTACAAAGCTGAATTTATCATCATACTTCAGTTTGACTTTCCTTCATATTGGAAATACTATAACTAAATATATTGTTGAATTATACAAATGTGGGAACTAATATTCAGCAAAGTGAGTAAAAATACAATTTAGAAGACTTGACCCAATACCAAAAGCATAAATGTAGCTTAAAGAATACAGAGTCAGCAGTTTGGACACCATTTCAACAAGCTGGCTCATCTGTTCTTTAAACAGAGTAATATATCCAGTTGTCTTAATAATAAACAACATTTTATACATGTCATTTGACAGTGACAATCTGAGAACAATGTGATTTAATTTTTTCCCCATGTTTATACAGACTCGTTTCAAAACAACATCTGGCATGTGTTGGTGTGTCTCTAAATAAACTTTCCAGGCAAGGTATTTCATCTGCAGTAATTGGGTCCATCCATTCAGTTGCTAGTCCCAAAATGATGCTTTAAACCCAAATGGACCAAGATTGAGTCATTTGAATCAATGTAAGTAATTGATTCAAGAAAAATTTCCTGAGACTTCAACAGCTCTAATAGTAATAGTAATAGTAATAAGTAACACCATAGTTAATAGTTATATGGACGTTTCCAAAGTATAAGTAATAGCCTTTAAACATCGTTGAGACTGAATGAAGTTTCGGAAAGTGTTGATATTAATATTGATTCCAGGTTATGCGTTACTTTTGATAATGCCATGTAAGACTTTTTAATAGTAATAGTGGCGGAAATTAATGAGAATTTTAAATTTTTTTATTTCTCAACCAATTTGTATTCAATTTACATAAATTTTTCTGCACATAAGTAATAATAAGGTAATTTTACTAAAAATAAAAATTTAGTGGTCAATTGTTAAACTTCATATTAATATTGAAAATAGAGAGTGACACTCCACATTGGAAATAGAGAGTGACACTTCATATTGGAAATAGAGAGTGTCACTTCATGTTGGAAATAGAGAGTGACACTCCATATTGGAAATAGAGAGTGCCACTTCATATTGGAAATAGAGAGTGACACCCCCATATTGGAAATAGAGAGTGACACCCCCATATTGGAAATAGAGAGTGCCACTTCATATTGGAAATAGAGAGTGACACTCCATATTGGAAATAGAGAGTGCCACTTCATATCGGAAACAGAGAATCCTTGTATATTTTGAAGCTAATTAGCATCAGTCACTGGATAATAATAATTTTGATTGTTCGATATTTGTACGACTTTTATCGCCACACTCCATATTGGAAATAGAGAGTGCCACTTCATATCGGAAATAGAGAGTGACACTCCATATTGGAAATGGAGAGTGCCACTTCATGTTCGTACGTTCGGAGGCTTCTATTTTTCGGATGGTCATCCTCTCATCCTGACTAATTTTCTTTTTCGTTCGGAAACAAGAATGTCCCAAGTATTGGTTTCATAATTGAATCCGGTAAATTGTTTCCGTAGTATAAATAAAACTTTAAAGGTAATGTATAACGCACGGACGTCAGATATCCTGATTTGGATACGCCGTGAATACGGGTGGAAGGGAGACTGGAAATTTGGGCAAGAGGAAAGATAAAAATTACTATAAGATTTGAAAAGATCACAAAATGATATGCACGCAAAGCAGCTGAATAACACCCACCTTCACCATATTGGATACGTCAAAGCACTGACGGTCTATCTTCGGACATGTAAAACTCTATTCCTCCTTGCTCTCAGCAAACGTCCGAACCGTTCGACAAAGCTCTACACGCATGGTAGACATAAAGGTGAGGAAAGGATATAAAAAAAAGGGCATTGGGGTAAAACGAAAAACAATATGAGAAAAGACGTAATGACAATGGTCAAAAAAGCATAGATCCTATAGGGGTTTGTAACAAACCTTCAATGATACCTTCGGGTTATAAACCCAAACCTCCTTCGGCACTCGACAACATATCTTTTACTTTCTGGAATGAATTCAGGCCTGCAGCAGAGTACTCAAAGTCGTCTGAGGCCTTGTCGGGGACCCCAGCTCAAATAAGGACGATGAATTCCCAACGTCGCCACTCTGAGGATTCGTTGGCCGTGCATTCTCGGTAATCAGGAGATTACTGAGACTCGTGGACGATGGATGAAGCTTTGAATGTTTGTGAATTTATAAAAAGCGAATTGACGGCAGTATCTCTTGGGCTGACGGGGATCGGAAAAATAGCATTGATTTTTAGTTCAGTCGTGCTAATGTTAGCATTGCCATAGTCCTGATCTGAAAAAAAAAAAAAGAAATTTCGTGAGTCACTCGGATGAGTAATACGAACTGCACATATTACAACGGAACATATATCCGTAACAACTAGTTACCATTTATGAATCCGTATTGATTAGTTTCCAACGGTCACTTTGAATTTCCGTTAAAAGCAACAAGTGCTTGGGATAATGCCGTTTGCTTGGTTGTCAAAAGTTTTGAGAAGTTCGTAGCTTGTCGAAGATAAAGTAGCTGCTTTATAGTTTCGTGCTGCGTATAGAACGCATGACAAGATTAATGTCATTGTTAGAATCTGTAATGTATTAGAACAGCGGTCACCTTCGTACCCAACTCTATAGTGAAACCTTCTCTTCTCCTTCATGTCGTCGCCCACCACCTTTAACCAGTTCTTATCTCTTGAAGACAATATGGCTATAAAGTCTACTGTCTATAAAGTAAATGTCACAATAGCGCTAGTGTACATACCGGTGTATTGAGAAGGTCTTCATAAGACAACGAACGCAATGTCAGTGTGTTTTTTCTCTTGGAAACCAAGTACGGCACGAATGAATAAACGTTTCCGACAACCAAAAGGGCATTTTGAAGTAATAGGTACAGCACACAGCACCTCCTGCATAACAATACGTCAACAATCATGTGACATTATGCGAGAAAATAATAGTGTGACATAGCATGTGGTAAGTAGTAACCTATTATCAATTCAAGCTTTGGGGTATCATTCTACTCGTTCATTACAAAGGACTCTATCAGTCAGATAGAAACGTTTTCAACGATTGATAAAGCACATTTCCTTATTGTAAGGTTCCCGATTGGTTTGTTTATGATATCCAACCAATCAATACGCGTTGAAGATCAGTAGATCTGATGAAGAATATTAATGATTGTGGCTAATTGATAAGGTTCATGAAGCAGATTCCTTGTATAAAAAAAAAGAACCGAGATAATTGCAATGGACCGTCTGCAATTTTTGAATTGATATACATAAACAATATTGCTATTATTACTAATATTATTTTATATTGACAATTGTTGAGAACAAAATCCATTGAATGAAACGCGATAGTAAAGTCGGTTGTGTTATCATTATGATCTGCAATGTGAAGTAACAACAAAAATGCGACTATTACGAGGTCAAATAAAAACCATTGTATACGGTTATTATCACATTTATGCTGTTAATATATTTTGTTTTATTGTTATCATATTAATAATACTGGTTATTGTTAATTCATGTATAAATATTAATGGCATAATTATTTTATCAGGGCACAGCAATAGACACTTCTAATAAATTACATATAAAATTTAATGGCCATGTTATTGTACTTTGGGTGGCTTGTCTGCAATGGAACAGCGGACCTTTCCCCTTTTACAAATTTGCGAACAAACGACTGCTGCCATCTCAACCAACTTGTGTTGGGGGCCAAGACTTTTCAATGGTAGCTTTGCTACAGTTTGCAATGTAATCAATACCCCCTTTCCCATTAACCAAATTGATCTTTGTACTAGTCGTGTACAGCACAGCTGTAATAAATTTACTTTAATTCGTTGGTTATCTATCCGATATGGGACAATGATAAGGAAGTTATTCGTTCACAAGCAATTTTTCACATTCTTACAGCATTGAACTGTACTATGTAAATTTTGCTTAACTATTTTTAAGAATATGCATATAATTTTTTAATTCATCTACATGAGATAATGCTAGAATCACTAACCCACAAATTTAAAATAATTAACACGACACTGGTAATTAGGAAACAGTTGCTTGACCTTGCAAGAGTTTAATGCAATTACTGACGCGAGTTATTGGATTTGTTATATAAAAAACTGCGTGTTGCATAGAGACAACCATTCTTGTTGTCTTCCATAGAGCATGATGCAGCACCTCCCTACGTTTCAGTTTACTGCGTGTTTATTACGTCACATTCCATTGCGTATGATAACTATTATAACAGTAAACCTGTTTCACATAATTATTATTATTTTATTAGTTCTAAGTATATTGCAATGGATTATGAAACAAACGCACTAACAATTGTATGTGTATTAACAATATAGCAATTTTCCCTTGTAAATGTAATAGAAATTTTATTCAATGGTAGTTTTACCATTTTAACTCACAAAGGCTGCTATATATTTGCGTAATTTGCACATGATTATGCTTTAATAAGTTTATGCTAATATAATAGAATTTATATTAAAATATATGCGCCATACAAATAAAATTGTACATAAATAAATTGCTCAAAAGCTTTATAAGAACGGCCAAAACCCGCATGTTCTCCAATCTTCGAATTTTTAACCAAATCAAATCAAACAAAACCAACCTCTCCATCAATTTCGCACCACACACCCACACAACTTATTTTTCAAAAAAAAAAAACCAACATTTTAACATGCCTTCTTCGCCCGCTCGCCGCCAGGAACAACGTTTACAAAGTCACGAAAACGGAGCTCGGTTCCGGCCAAACCCGTTTCTGGCGTATCGCCAAGCGATTGCCGCCATGACCCCCGGGCCGGCAGACCAGCAAACAATATCGATAAGGGCCGCCGAGATGTGGCACGCCGCCTCCAACGAAGAGCGAGCCCTTTATGACGTTCATGCAGAGTTTAGAGCGGAGATTCTAAACTCTTCCTACCACTGCCCACAAAATCTGGGTAAAAACAGTGGGCTGGTAATGCTGACGGAGTGGCAGGGAGACAATTTCTTCATGGTGAAGATTCTGCCCAGACAGGAAGAAAGCGGCTCGTCGGGCAATGGGCAATAATTTTGTCCCATAATTTTTGTCTCCCTGGTAGAGAAAAATTTTTGTTGTACATTCTATAATTTTTGTAGTATTATAATAAATAAATAAATAAATAAAATGTTACTTAATTGCGTAAATTTACGTTTTACTTTTTATCCAATGTTATCGAATTTTGTTAATTCTATCTATCATTCGCCAATTACATTTCAGATACCCGCATATAATTACTCTGTTCGTGTTACCATTCACAAGGTCTCTTTGGCCATAATAGTAAAATCACTTATTATTTTCAAGTAACTATTCTTGACGTTACGGATCAGTGTTCTTAATGTCAACAACATCGTATTAATTGTATAAAAACTCGTTACCTGAAAATTGAATATCACTGAAATCATCGACATGAGTGTACATTGATCTAATGAGATGATTTTCGGATGCCAAGATCCTAATAACATAGTGCTAATGATAGTCTAACAATATTGTTACATGGAAATGACTATTACCTAAGATTCATCGAGTCTTTAATTTAATATGATGAGATGTTTGTACGTCAGTCAGCCACTCAAAAAGACAGTCTGTTGACTGACCAAACGTCTCCGATCGGTTCTTGTAGGAATGGTACTGGTAAAATGATATTCTTCCGTATCGCATTATTTCAGGTATGCCGATCATCTGGTAACGGATTGAATTGATTGTGTGTAGGTATTGTATGAAAAAATTTTTCGATAACTGCAAAGTTGACATACTTACACGTGAGATTTCCACGCAATCCCTTACAATGGATGATTATAGATTGCGTCGTCGCAAGACGTAAAAGGACCAAGCAACAATTATCGACTATACGATATTAACGCTATTGAAGCTTTAGTTACTCCACGCTTTTTACCAACTGAAAATATGAGAGAAAAGACATACATACTTATAGTTGTTAAGATTTCTTCCATAAATTTCTGAACATGTTGTCCATTGCATAGTTTTTAAACGTTGATAGCAGTATTTACAAGCCAAAGACCGTTTACTCGTTGATTCAAAAATCGTCCCTGGCGTTCATACCGAATTCGATAGCAAAATGTTTTGTTGATACGTTGAATAAATATGCAATACTGTCGAAGTGATAGAACAAAGGGATAGGGATGAGAGAGAGATACGGAATCGAGGTATTATAAACTCATTTACACTTACCGATAAATTTGTGTTGTAAATCAGCCAATATCGTTCACTCTCATTAGAAATAACAACCTGATATACTCCGTTGCTTTACCTGTAATCTTTTCGTACCGATACGATTGCTTCAATCACAAGACAATGGTATGCTAGAGATTCTTTAATCACCTTTTTCTCCATAAAGTTTAATTTCATAATCGTCTGAATATTTCAATGCCATTTCTCTCCCACAAGATAGTGGCTAATCGGTTATGGGATTCTTCGACTCCTGCTTTCTTAGAGTAATCTCTGAATCATTATAATTGTTTATATTTACCACATGCAGAGTTTCAATTAAAGCTTAGTCGGTTATATTGATTTCTACAAAACGTAAACTTGATAAAGTTCCAATATTTGCATAACACGTTAATCACAACATTATGTTGTCAACTTCACGTCGCATAAGTCGGTCAAAAGCTGTTATGAGAGCGCAAGTCCCAAACATACTATTAGCATTTTCCCCCGTAGACTTTTACACTGTATTACTGCCTTGCTCATACATACTTACCCCAGGGTTAATAGCCTCAACATTGTATTTAATCTTTTTCTGTTCGACCTGTGTATATTAGGTGCCGTTCTTCTTGTCACGAATATAGTCAAAAATTGAGACTGGCTATAACACACGGTTAAAAGAGTTAAGACTTTCCAAAGTCTTTATTTGTTTTTTGTCTCATTTTTTTAATCCAAAAAATACTAGCAGCCGCGAATTTCAAAGTAGTTTAAAGTGTATAAAAAGATTGAATTGACTCGTTTTGGATCTCTGATTCGTCAACTAATAGACGTTGTACACCATATTCCGTGTGTGCATGTGGAAGGGAATATATATATTAGTTATGAACGCCGCAGTTTTTACAATACAATATGTATATCTATGCTTACACCATTGTGAATGCCATTAACAATAGGCCGGGGGAAAACGCCAATTCAAAAGGAGAGTTCGCTCAAGTGTAAAATTAAATAGTTTTAACACCTCCCTCACGCAGCAGGGCCTTTTTATGCAGGTCGAATCTTCCTTCCGTTTGTCGAGTGGCCGAATTACCTAAACAACAAAGAACAGGTTTGGATTCGCCGTATTGCGTTTGATGTATCTTTTCGTAGTCTAATGTTTATTCTTGTGTTAAACCTAATAATTATTTGGGACGTTTATTGAGCTCCTAATTTACCAAGTGCGTATTCAACTTACCTCTAATGGACTATTAGAACTTTTTGATTATCCGCTTAACAATTATCATGTTCTACAACAGATTATTTTCTAACATTATATTCCGGAATTACTCAGATGTACTTTCACATATTGTTAATGGTTTTTAATTGGATAGGGGTATGTGCATATATACGTGCGTATTTGGTAGGATGACCCTGTATATAACTATATAAAGATTTGTATAAACGAAATACGATATAGAAGAAGATGCAAATAATAACATATAAATACCCTTCATTCAGCGGTATTTCTAATATATGATATGTTAAAAATGACGCACCCGATAATAAAAATGGAACATATACGCTTATTGTTTGTCATTTCAATCATAGCGCATGCCTATCAGATATGTGTACTACGAATTTAAGTATGTTTTAACATTGAATTTATTAATATCAATTGATATAAGAAATTATTTACTTGTATGTTGAGTATTTATGTATTCGATTTATTAATGAAAATATATTAGTCGTTAGTGGGCAAAGTAAATTTTATCATATCAATATTAGTCAGCTATATTATACATCAATAGTCTTCTAACCATACAGATTGGGTATGTCTGAAAAATCCGATTAATATACGTTTGTATGTTGATGTAATTATAAGGCATCAACTACTATTGGCACGATACCGGACCTTTTCTCCATGCCCCCGGCCCCGCAAGAAGACGCATTGCCAACACATAGAGCAAAGGTATTTATTCCTAGCGAGAGAATGGTTTACTCGAATTTGTATCATTCCGATGTTTATAGTATACGCGAATTTTTGTCAGTATTATACAGAGCAAACCGTCGTTTGTCTCGGAGGTCAAAACAGTACAAGAGTCTAAAGGTTTATACAGGTAAGTCATGAGTATTCATATAACAGAAAATTTGGTCGAAACAAACCTCTCTCGTCAATGTTAATCATATTAAATACTTACGTTTATGTCCGGCTTTTTGGAACCAGTCTCAACACATCTACGGTTGAATGAAAACGGTCGTTTTATTATCTTTTACAAGTCTCAGTCTCTAGTGTGTTACTTTTTTACTATAATAACAATGTTTTATACGTAAAGGCTCTGAGATCGGAAACCGTGTGAAGGAACACCTGGAAAACTACAGCAGGACCTTAGTTGTAGGAAGAAGAGCATGGTTTCGTGACAAAAACGTCATTATTACCAACTTCAAGAACAAAGGCATTATACGTATATTGGTTTTACTTTCCATGACTATTGCGGCTGGCAATAAGAAGACGAACGATTGTGAAAGGGGAAGCGGAGTCAGCATCGAGACAGCGGAGCTATCGTAGAATTGAACGCAATATGACGACGCAATATGACGACGCAATATGACGACGCAATATCGATTAAAGAATGAAGTCCCAACACGCATATCGGTTATGTTCAACAATCAACAAAATTAAGCAGATCCGTTAACGATAGGATGTGTTGTAAGATGTAATGTTAATCCGCTCTCGTTATTGTTTGACAATTGATCTATCTTCTCTCTCAGATAATGGCGTTTGATTTGCACCTTTTCGTGAATGGAAGACTTTAGCTCTACACATTTGCAATTGAGCGTCATTGAAGATGAACTTTGTTTATCGAGCGAAGGTAAAATGTTCTTAAAGTCAGATGAATTACTAGCCTTAGATCAAGTTTGTCACGTGAGATGCGATGTTTATGGCAAGTATGTGTTGTCGCTTTCAACCGAATAATGCTTTTTAAGGGGGGATGGGTAAATATTAATTTTTATCTTATTCGCCGGGAAGACATGTACTGAAGTTGCTAGTATATATCGACTAATACACTCAAATATAACTCAAATATCTCACTTTCTTAATACACTGCAATTGCGTAGCTCGTCATAGTGAATGGCATATAATCTACAATCGACCTGCAAGTATATTGATAATGGCTGCAACACCGTCACACAAAATGTAATATAAGTTTATTATTATATCCTTTGAATATTATGAACCCTATTTTAACGTAATATACTGTCGGTGTCTTTACAGTAGTTTTTATTTTAATAAAAAGGCTCATTATATTATCTCAGTATTGATGTTTTGGGGACATTCTCTCTCACATCACAATAAATTATACACTATTCAATCTCATATTAATTATAATATGCAAACCCAATGACGATAATGGGGAGCCTCAATTTTATGGGGGGGGGGGGGGGCTCTGGAAAAACAAAATCAACCGAAATGAATAAACAGTATAAATAAATGGATAGATCGATAACATGCCACCGCAAGGGTAACAGGATTCGAGGCTTGGTCATCTGAGTCAGTTGGCGTTCGATGAGCTTGCGCAATACAACAAAGCTGTGGGAGTCAGCAGCTCATGCATTAAGTTTACGGACA